CGGGCTCGGGCTTGGGTCGGGCGGAGGATGCGGGCGCGGTCGGGAGGCCGGTAGGTGTCACTGTGAAGAGGGAATGAGACCGGACTGCGGTGCGGGGTGACAGCCAGACCCCTCGGAGGGGGCTCTTCCCCCCCACTCCCCTCSAATGATTTCCTCTATTTAAAACTTCAAAAGCGAGGAAGAGTAAGAGAAGCATTAGAACAGTGGTTGTATTCAATATCCTGACTGATCCAGGAGTTTTACCCCAGCTTTCAGAAGCTCTTTTGCAGAGAGTGGGAGCTGTATTTGCTCGAGCTCAGTTTTCCCTACGGTACACTGAGCAGTCTTTCCCCTTTGCAAAGATTTGTGCACTTACAGCACTGAAAATTTTACCCACGGTGTCGGCTCCGTTAAAGCCACAAGCATCCTCCAAGCAATATCACTTGAATTCTGGTTTASGTTTTCCTAAGCTGTCTTGCAAGCATGTCCTGTGCAGCTCTGACCTGCTGGGTGCAAACTTCTTTTGGATCAAGATTTTCACTTTTGCAGAGGGAGATGGTCTCTGATCTGGTCGAGGCTGTGCAAGGGTACTGTCACAGCAGTACTTTGAGGGAGCGCATCTCGTGATGCCCTTGGAGCCATCTCCCACAGCCAGAAATATGTTAACAAGTAAACAAGTACCCACAATGAATCAGTGCRCACACTCGAGTTACAGTTTTGTTTCCAACTATTACACACTCTGGCCATACTAACCAAAGCAGTCAATAACAATGGTGTTACAGCCAGAGAGCAGGGAGTAGCCTGAATGCAGCATCCTGACTAAACAAATTTTGTCTATACATGTGGATGTCTTTATGGCCTGTRGCTGTTGGTTACTTTGTGTAAAGGCTCATCTGCATGGGCTGGGGGTCACACGTATTTCAAAGACAGTGAACCTGGCTTTAGTGCCTGGCTTCGGTGCCAGGCTAGCAAAGTTAGTGCTTTCTTCAAGCAAGAAATTCCAGTATTATATGGCACTTACTATCCCAGAGAATACAAAAGTATGGGATGGTCCTTCCTCAGAAAAGTCTGATTTGTAGCTGATGCCAGAAAAGAAATTGATCCAGAATTTTTAAAAGCTYGATCCACTTCAGATCACATCTTGAAGATTAATTAGCTAATGCCTTCAGATGAACCAAACTCTCCAGATAACAAGTCCTTAAAAACATTGATGCTCTTCCAGTTCTCCTCCTTAACAAAAATAAATAATACAGAGATGTGTAACACTCGCTGCCCTAGAGCAGCGTTTAAACTGATCTTAAACCCAACTGAGTTGTGTCCACGGGCAGGCAGTGTGGCTGTGAACATGATGCTGCTCATCCCTGAACTGTGGTGATGTTGGAATGCCTCGGTCTGACAGCAGCGCCCTGGCAAAAGGAGAAATCACTTGCCTGCTTTGGAAAATCCCCACAACTGAGTGCAATTAGAGATCACCACACCAAGCAGCAGAAGTGAATCAGCCAATCCAGTGTTCTTGCTCTTGCTGTGATCTAYGCAGGGTGATTCAAAGGAAAATGCACAGAAAACCACAGAACAAATACGAAAACCTCTTTTAGGAGATTTTTGGGATATGTGTAATGGAAGGCAGTATCAGTCAGAGGAAAAAAAGAATTTATCATTAAATACTAGCACTAGCATCTACGATGGTTCCACCCTCCCCAAATACTTTTGCTTGAATTAAAAAAAAAAAAAAAATTTTTTTTTCCTTAATACTACTGATTTTGTAGGTAAGAGCAGAAACACATGCTACTGAAAATATAGAAAAAAGACAACAAAAAGACTTTGCTCAGGGATGAATGACCATTAAAGTCACTTATGTTTTTCAGGGATTTTGTGTGTAGGGACACTATAGAGCCATCTGGCTATGTGTACTTCTTCACATGTGCTAGCTACATTGGACATAAAAAGGTAAAATGGAACATTGAGGAAAATCATGGGGCTTTCCAACACTCCCTTGTGGACTTTGCGCTTATAAAATAGCAAATGAACTACAAAGAGACAAATGAAAAACTTTAATCTGTGAGATACCATCAGACTCATATCTGATAGGCAAAGCAAGAGTATGCTAATTTTAAAGAGCAAATTGAAACAAGAACAAGCTTGCCATATTGATTTATTTGTATTTAACATGTGCATATGTGCAGGTCAGAGCATGATAATTAACTTTAAAAAGCAGTTTGAACTTCACAGCTGGGCTAAGAGAAATGGTTAAAGTTTTACTTTAGGTGTTTTGTAATAGCATGCATTAGCTTCGAGCAAAACTCATGGAATGGAAATTACTTCTCCCAATTATGAGGTGGGGTTTCAGCATTTACTGGCATGAATCAGCCCTGTGAGTTAAATGAAAATTATGCAAGACACTTGCTTTCCAGGCTCTGTGTTTTACAGCCTAACATGGAGATGAGGACAAGTAAGTTGGACTCTGCTTTGCAGCTGATTTTTAATCATTTCTCTATTACACAAAGCRTACAATGTGTTGTACAATTTGCTTCTAGTTCTGATTTCTTGCATGTGAGATTTATAACCAAGGGCAGTTATCCCAGGTCACATCACACATGTGAGGACAGTCAGGCCCTCACTCCCAGCTTCAGCTTCAGAGCAGTTCTGACTCTTGCAATGTGATCTGAGCAAGCAAATTCCCCTGGCCAAAGAAAACAGAGCTGATTTTGTTGTATCTGTGCATGGTGTTTGCTTCTTACCCAAACAAGTTGTCCTAATGGACCCAGGCCTAGCTTTGGACCTAAACACGAACATAAGAATTAGCCAGGAATAAGAAAGGCAAGAGTGGATTTAGATGTTTACTTAATATATGGGCTTGGGGGTTAGCCTTGTTTTGTTTTGTTTTGTTTTGTTTTGTTTTGTTTTGTTTTGTTTCCCCTCGCTTAGATTTTAAGCTCCTGAAAAAGTGACCGTATTGTAGGAGGCATTAGGACCGGAAGGAATGCAGGTTTAAAAGAAGGAAGGAAAGTAAAAACGATAAAGAGGAGAAAGGGACCTCCCGAGAGGCAGTTGGATGATTAAAGGCAGCACAGTGGAATAGAATCAAATAATTTCACTGGACTGGCAACAAGTAGCCATTGGGAAGATCTACAGGCTCGATAATCACATTCTTCTTTAAACACAAGCACAGATCAAGACAAGATCAAGTGCCAGCTATTATACAGAAAAATGTAGTAAAGGCATAATAAAGTGACCATCGAATAGAATTCATTCTTAAAAATCAAAGGAATGCCAGCTATTATAAAGAAAAATGTAGGAAAGGCATAATAAAGTGACCATCACATAGAATTCATTCCTTAAAAATCAAAGGGATGCTATGCACAGTAAATGTCCARATTCCAAGTGATGAGAGAAAATGCTATTAATGTCTGTTTTCCGTGTCCTCATTTATGAGTGTCAAATCACCTTAAAGAAATGCAGGGTCRTTAGGTAATCCAATTAATTCATCACTGTTTATTTTCTTTCCTAAAGTTACAAGAACTAGGGAAAGTKAAATACACCAGCACTTTATTGTGGTAAAGCTATAAAGTGTTTGTTTTGAAGGTGTGCTAGTATGAATAGCAATTTATGTTTTTCACAACCAGTAGTTCAAAGATTCAAGAGATAAAAAGGATAAAGCTCCTGGTGATAGCACTGTGTGATCAGAGGTGGTGTAAGGTGTGCCCTAACTTGTCAGTGGCCTTGTTCAGGTGGGTCAGTGTGGGACTGGTCATGAAGAGTGAAGCTTCTTCACCAAGGTCACAGCCTTATRAAGCTGCTGGCATGTAACTAACAATGAGCTGTCAAACTGAATTAATCAGTTTGCTTAAGGTTCTGTGAAAGTCCATTTTCAGGAGATAATTTGTCTTTTCAGAGCTTAAGAAAAATTAGGTGCTTAGGATCAGGATTGGTGTAATGGTGTTAATGAAGTACTATTACCTGTATGGGAACA